GTGAAAATATTATTAATATAGCATACACTTGAACTAATGTTGATTTTTAATATTTATGTGAGACTTTTTAGGTGGTTGAAATACATATTGCTGCTGCCCCCATCCACAGCAGTACATTTATTAGTTTCCATGTCGGTACTACTGTCTGCTTCTTCAAACTGGGGGTGTGCCGACTGACATCTACTGTAGGTAATACACTGACCATAGATAAGTACCTCATACAACCCCACTTCAAAAGATCTGAACTATTCCTTTAATATATTAAAAAAAATATAACTCATGTTTCCTTTGATGGTCTCCTGTACTACTCTGTGTACCACAGTAGGCCTATTTATTTGTGGAGAGAGTGTTGGTGTGGATTAGCTGTGGCACAAAGCTGGAAAAGATTTCAACAGCCTCTCCTCATATCTCTAAGTTTGCAGCATGAAGAAAATATTGAAGTGCAGGTGTAGTTTTAAACCAAAAGCAGAAGTTTCCAGTAATGGTTTCACTGGAAAATGTTTTGGTCATGTGTCACTTAGATACTGGTTACTTTGTCATCACAGCTGGTGATCAGTACAGAACAGTGTGTTCGAAGTGTCAGTCCACTGCTGCCCCCTGCTGTCCAGCTATCATAGTGCAGTTGAGGTGACCCTGTAGTCAACTGTGTGCTAATTGGACACTTTGGCAATTGCTAATATTTATCACACATATGCACATAAGTAGTCTGAGCAGGCAGTGGTTGATTCACATGAAAACTCAATCAGCTTTGTTCTCATGTCTCTGCTTCTTCACAAATCTCCAAGATGCACCATTGTTTTTTAGTATTGTTTAATAAAATATAACAGTCAGACCTGAAGAAAAGTGTGATAAACCTGATGAGGTGTGGATGTGATCAATGAGATCTGATCAGTCATTTAAAATGAGCAGTCTGAGTTTGAACAGCATGCATGACAGAGTATTTCAGTTTTAACTCAATTTGAGCTCTCACCTCTTCCACATAAAAGATTAGGGGTCTCCTACACAATGAGAGAGAGTGAAGGAGGTGCAGTATGGAAACATAGGGTGGGGGACATTACATTGACTGAACAGGGCTGAGGAAATATAGGGTGAGAGAACAAAATGCTGTGAGAACATATGGCAAGGAAACATAGGGCAGAGGGAACACTGGGTTAAGGGAACATGGGGTGAAGGTATGTAAGGCTGAGGGAACACAGGGTGGGGAACATTACGTTGAGGGAACAGGGCTAGGAGAACAAAGGGTGAGGTAATGTAGGGTAAGGGTACATAGGGTTGAGAGAACATGGGGCTGAGAAGATATAGGGTGAGGGAACACAGTGCGGTGAGAACATATGACGAGAAAACATAGGGCTGGAGGAACACTGGATTAAGGGAACATGGGGCTGAGGAAATATTGGGTTGAGGGAACATGGGGGAAGAACTTAGGGCTGAGATAACATAGATCTAGGAGAACAAAAGGGGGGTAGGCACATAGGGCTGAGGTAACATTTGGTTGAGGGAACATGGGGCTGAGGGAACATAGGAATGATGGAACATGGGGCTGAGGGAACCCTGAGTCGGGGAAACTTGGGGCTGAAGAAATAGGGTGAGGGTTCATTGGGTTGAAGGAACATGGGGCTGAAAAAATATAGGGTTAGGGAACAAAGTGTTGCAGAACATATGGAGAGGAAACATAGGGCTAAGGGAACAGTGGGTTTAGGGAACATGGGCTGAGGGAATATTGGGCTGGGGAAAGAACTCAAGGCAGAGGGAACATAGATCTAGGAGAACAAAGGGGGTAAGCACATAGGGCTGAGGAAACAAAGGGTGATTGTACATTTGGTTGAGGGAACATTGGGCTGAGGGAACATAGGAATGAGGGAACACAGGGTGAAGGAACATTTGGGTTAAGGAAACTTGGGGCTGAGCTATGTTGAAGGAACATAGGGTGAGGGAACTTAGGGCTGGGGGAACATACGGTGAGTGAACATAGTGTGTGGGACACTGGGTTGAGGGAAAATAGGATGAGGGAACATTGGGTTAAGGGTACATAGGGTGAGTGAACATAGGGCTGAGGGAACATGAGGCCGGGGAAGAGTGGGTTGAGGGAACATGGACACGCATTCCTACACTACATCAGTGAAACAGCAAGGACCCTTGGCAAGGGACTGAATAAATGGAGAAAACAGATAGCATCACCCCCACCCTTCCTTACAATTTTGAGATGCCGTTGGAAGCAACAAAAAAGCAAGTAATTTAAAGAAAAAAATTAGGTTTGCCATAACCATACTCATCCAGTTATACTATATTCATTAAGATAAAAAATGGGTGTTTTGTTTCAGGTACCAGATGCTACATTCAATTTATTCCAGTTGCAATAATTGCCAGGCGAGAAGTTAAATTCATATTACAATGTAATCTCTCAGGAAATGGTGCTTTCAAGTACTTAATTGGCCAACACAAATGATGCTACACTTAACTTTATTTTTTACTTTTAAAAAAATATATTTTTTTATTAGGTTTTTTATTATTTTATTTTATTCGTTTTTATTTTATTCCCCAGGCACTTCTTGTTTCAGCCATAGACTGTAACAGGTTTCAGCCACCCCATGAACCATCCAGTCCGCTCCGAGTCGCTCCTGCCTTTCCCTAAAACCAAACACCCCACCCACTTTCATAAGCCTGCTGCGGATGATTGACAGCTGTGACAGCCACTCACCGGGCGCAAAGCGTCAGCTTTATGTTCACTCCAGTTCACCAGCCAATCAGTTGAGATGTTCAACAATCGCGACGCCATACGTCCTCTGCAGGCCGCCATTATGGTGAGGTACGAAGGACCACAGAGCTGTCTGCACTCCTTCAGCTGTCACCGGGACCACAGAGACTTCCTGAAGAACAGCCTCAATCACTTTTACAGTAGAAATATCGATTCATACGAATAATTTTTGTTCCATTTTCAAACATAGCCTTTATGTTGATGATTATGTTGATGCATTTGTGTGTTGTGTGTTATCAGTGTCTTAGTGACATTATTTAGGCTATGAGATAGTTTTGTATTGAAGAGTGTGGATACCATACATACTGAGAATGTTGTTAATAAGAACAAACCAATAAATCAAACACTGCCGAATGAACATCATGTGTTTTACAAAGAACAGCATGAATATGATTTAAATATCTGTCCACACACCTCCTCCACGACCCCTCCCATCTGTGTCTTTCATTTCTCAGCCACTCCATCTCCCCTTCTTCCCCCCCTCTCCATCCTCTCTTTGCCCGTCACCCGGCCCCTATCTCCCTCCCTGCTTCCTTCTCCCTCCCTCCCTCTCCATCCATCTCCTGTGCTCTCTGCCCTTCTTCTCCCTCCCTCCATTTCACTCTGTCTCTTTCTATAAGTGCTGTAATAAAAGAACACCAGTGGACACAGACTAACACAAACAACAGTCAATAACAATGAGACCGATAAGAAAAAGAACAGAAAGGCAGACACATATTTACTTAACCAGATATATTAGACTGTAGCCTAACCTGTGCTCCAAGGGCGTAGATTTTATTTCAACACTGGGGGACATACATATGAAATAGGGGGGTTTGGGGTCCTTTGCCAGAAAAACACTTAAGTAACTGCATTCTAGTGAATTTTTTATACAACAATTTTTGCCTTTTCTGTATCAGTTTATAAGGACAACGTATTTAATTATGTAAAAATAAAGACCTTTAATGTTTTTACTGTGGAGCAAATGCATGTTCTAAACATTGATTGTAGAACAGGAGTAGTGGCTAATAGTGGCAACCAATATTATTACTGTAATAAAAGTAATAGCAGCAGTCATAGAAGTAGTAACACAAGAAGCAACTTGTGTGGCTGCAGCAGTGTAGTGCAGTACAATACAAGCAGTAACTGCAGTAGTGGAATAGTTGCACCATGTCAGCACCATGATAGCTAAAATTATTTCAGTACCAATGGGTAGGCTACTATGGGTTCTACTTACTGGTTTGTACTTAAAATACTTTTCAGTCAAGTTCAATACTTACAATACTTGTTTACAGTCATTTTTCAAGTACTTGTACTTTGTTTGAGTAAATCCACTCAACTAATTTCGGTAACTCAATGACTCCACATTTAGCCTAAAGAGTATGATAAGGTCAGCTGCTTGAATATGACCAGCTACATGGTTAAAATGCAGCCTATTGCTTCCTCAGTCTGAGAGGAATCACTGTGCGTAACGACTGCTTTTACTTAACTTCAACTTGTTGCTAAGTACTTTTTTTAGAGGTACCAACATTTGTGAATGCAGAACTACTACCTATGACGGGGTATTTTATAATGGCATTACTACTTCCTCCATCACTGTGTGGTAGGAGTTGCAACAGCAGTGATACTACATAGGCTATATAGGCAGTGGTGTCGTGGTAGTTGACGAGATGGGTGTAGTAGGTCTACTAGGTAGATGGGTAGGGTACCAAGGAGGTAGTGGGTATACTCATTTATATATTCCATTAATTTTTGACTGATAATTTGGTATACTGTAAACAATCAGAAGAAGAGGTGGGTATAATCCGTATAACTACATATACCCTCCACTACGCTGCTGACTATTGGCTACCATGGGCCTGTTCAGCCAATAGAAAGCTAAATTGAGAACATAAATGAGGTGACAGTGTGCTGGGCTGCACGCCTTAATTTAATACAGTAGATGTGTGTGTGTGTGTGTGTGTGTGTGTGTGTGTTAGCAACACGGAATGTGAGTTTACAGTGCAGTGTGTGCATGTGCCTGTGTATGTTTATCACAAAGAGTGACAGATTAAACATTGAAAACTTGAGTGGCCAAAATTTGCTCTATATCGAGGTCACACACACACACACACACACACACACACACACACACACACACACACACACAAGGGTGGGTTGTCTATTGTTTCCCTCTGGCCAATTGCAGGCTAAATATTTCCAGAGCTAATGGACCAATCAGCGCGTCCTTCCAGACACCTTTCCCCGCCTCCTGGTGTATAAAGGCGCGAGCTCGGCTTGTGGACACGCCGCTGGCAGGACAAAACGATTTGCTCCACATTGTCTGGAATAAAAGCCCCTACGTCTTTTTTAAAATTTTGCAATATTCTGACTGGATACTAATTTATTTTTCTCTATCTAACATGGCGGACAGTAAGGTGGAGAGCAGCGGGGAACTGAGCGCCAAGGTAAGGACAAGAGGAGAGGAGACAGGGACACAATGCTTTTTCTAACTCCGCTTATAACTGTATTACTCATTTGCCTATTTTAGGCACAGTGTCGGTGTAAGACAGAAGACTCTCAGTTTGTTAGACACTATCCAGCATCACTGGAGTGTAAATGCATCATTGTGTGACATTAAAGTGCATTGTAGTCCATTGAAGTGTGTAGGTGAAGCAGCTGTGTGAATGATGAGGAGTGAGGACGGGCTGGTTACGGTACAATGCATGAAGCACAGAAGCTTCCTCTGTGGGTTTAAACCTACACCGCCTCTCGGTTTAATCTACACGGAGTCACACATGAATCTCACATTATAGCATGCCTGTCCGTCATCTCACTAACATTGTTGCTCCATCCAGGTTGCTTTACAGAGAGGAGTCGGTGGCAATCTGTCGCCAAACTCACTGAAGTTACTTTCATTGATTTCAATGAAATAAAGACTTTGATAATTTGTTAAGTAGCGGACGTTACCGCCCACCGGTCAGTGTTTGGATGCTGTGGGAATAAAAGCAAACCATGTGCAGGCTAATTACAAAGAAACAGCTCGGTTTTGTTTTAAAAAGTGTTTTGTTTTTTCATATTAAAAATCGGATCAATACTAGGCTAAATAATAAACCACAGCCGATATTTCATTATTGGTTTTGTCTCACAGTTTAAACCCTGTTCTTGCGGACATGCATATTCATTCATTGCATATTAAATTAATATTCCAAAGGAGTTTTCTGACGCGGACAGAGCTGTATAATGAGACGACCCATACATATCCTACTACACATGGATAAATAACTCCACTATCCAGCTTAGGCTCTAACTCCTCTCTCTGACGTGACTGCACAATAATCTTAGTTTATTCACCTCGAGCTCTGCTAATCGTTGCGCGCGCGCACGGCTCCATGTTTATAAGTGTTACATCGCGGAGATACTACGCGCACGAGACTCTCCCTCCCTCCCTGCGTCTTTTATTGTTGTCTTTTAAAAGATGGACAAGGACTCTGCAGTGGCTACCTGGTGCTTCTAGGGATGCCGAGGCGGGTTATTGTTGATTCCCGCGAGCCCCCTCCGGTTTTGTTTGTGAGCCGCCGTCATGTAAAACAAAGTCAGTCTCATTTAAGCACGAGGCTGCGGGTCACAGTGGATAAATGAAGTGAGTGGAAGTATAGCCTATTATATCAATATCTATATATACCGTACAGCCCGCCGCCGCCGCGCTCTCATCCGGTCGGTTTACTTCAAGCAGCTTGTGCGCGAGGGACAGGGTCGTGCCCGATTCCACTGAGCCGCGCGTGCAGTAGCGCTCGGTTTGACTGCAGCCGCAGGAGGGCGCGAGACAAACAGACTGCTTCGCAAAAAAAAAAAAGAGCAGCGTCCACCAGGATGTCAGACGGATAGCCTCGAGCGTAACAAACCACTGTATGCTCCACGGTAGTTTTCACCAATGTGGTAGAAAATAAAGACACATAGTTAAATTAAGCTATCGAGACCTGTTATTGAATTATCGCGAGATGGCAGGTCCGTGTATATGTGTGTGCATTCTTCTGGTGCAGGTAGAAAAGTGTCTGCAGCGAACACAGAAGACATTGGTGTCAGCATTAAGGATGCTCTGAAAGCGTGTCTTCATATATTAGTATAATGTGGTCATACTAATGTGCATTAGGGCTTCAGTGTATGGAGATACGTCGTGTTGCTCAGGCAGCATATTGAATTAAACTCCAGTCCAGCCAGGGTTGTTTGAGGAGCTTCGTCAGTACAAAATCATTTGCTTGCCTTGGCGCCTGCTCTGATTATCTGACAGAGAATAAGCCGCCGCTGCGCTGCTGGGAGTTGTAGTCTTTGCACTGGTGTGCCTGTGGTTTCCCCACCACCAGCCTCCGCTCTGAATAAACTGCAGCAGTGACAGACGGTGTCAGGTTTCAGCCAGCAAGTAGGAGGTGGGAGGGACTTAGGAGGGATTTAACCAATAGGAGATGTGGGTTTAAAGCACCACCTGTCTGTAACAGGCAACTTGCAGCTCAGCTCCATGAAGGTGAGGAGTGTGGAGGATGGAGGGGAAAGTTTTCCTCCTCCTTCGGCAGGACACACTCAAGTTTGCGGCCAATCAGAGAGCCCAGTTTGATCAAGCTCGAGGAGTGGAGCTAATACACAACCACATCTGTTTTCCAACTGGAAGTGGAGCATGCTGCATTTTCAAACATTGTTTGTTTGGTTTATAGCAAGGGATACATGACGGCATATTGATGTAATACTTTGTGGCTATGTTGTCACTCTGTGGCAACTGCTCCCTGTAGTCATTACATAGTTTTTCAGATAGTGCAGAGAGTTAGATATTATGATTTTCTATTCAAACTGGCTAATAAAAATCTATGTATATTTAAATAAGAGCAACACATAATCACTTGTAAGTAACTCATTATTCATCTGCATTTCAATATCATAAAAAAACATCTAAAATACTGGACAATCTTGCAATGGGAGCACTCCAGCCTTGATACAGCTGCAACCTAAAGCAAATGTCAGCCAGTGGCATGAAGTGTGGGTGTCCATGGCCCTTTCCCTACTTCGTACCCTGCTACTTCCAGCCCCCCTTGCTCAAACCACACCCATCTTCGAACTCAGCTTTCATTGTGATCTCACGCATCTGTAAAGTTTCGTGACTGCATCTTGCACGGCTGCAGCATTATCACATTAACAAAAATCTGTCCACAGACAGATCGCATGTAAACACCTAAAAAAGTACTTGAAACTGCTTCTGTGGTAGTTTCCGCTACAAGAGGTGTCACCACGACCACAGTGAGTCACGATGACACACAGAGTGAAAATGATACCGGCTATGGCAACATTGTCGTGACTGGTAAATACATTTGGCACGGCATATGGAAAGTGAGTCTGCTTAATAAAAATGCATTACTCCCTGCTGTGCACGGGAAATGAATAGAATGCAGCCACAGTGCCAAGAACATGAGACAAGAGAGAATACACAAAACAAACAAGAGTGTGAACATTTGCTCAGTATTTTGAGGCAAATACCTTAATATTGACCTTTCACATTCAGTAGTAAAGTTCATCTGAAAACAAAAAGACCGCCTCGCCTGGTCATCTTAGGTCATGAGGTAACTTCTTTTGTCCTCGTGTTATTTATGCTATGTTCATAACAGAGTGCACGTGTGTGTGTTTGCCTCCAGGAGCTGAAGGAGAAGAGACAGGCGGAGGAGACTAAGAATGGAGAGGATGCTGCTGCCAACGGCAAAACTGTAAGGAAAGCCTCTCTGTTTCCTCTCTCAGCTTGTGGAACATGAATGATCCTTTTCCTTCTGGTGACCAGTGCAAATGTGTCTCACCCTGGCAGGACGAGGAGAACGGCGAGCAGGAGAATGAGGTAGAGGAGGACGAGGAGGACGTGGGAGAAGAGGAGGAGGAGGAGGATGGAGAGGGTAAGTGTCTTTGTACCATGCTGAACAACACAAAGACAGTAGAGGTCATGATACCCGGAGTTTGAGAACATGACTTAACTAAGCAAATGCATGTTGATGATATTAATCCAAAGATACTGTGACACTGCAGCAGCTTGGACAAAACTTATATCACATTTCATTTTGGTTAACAGAGTCTAGTGTAAGGTGGAGTATTATAAAGAAGCCTAGTCCAGCTTTCACTCTGAGTAACAATTAGCTTGACCATGTTTAACAGTACAGGATTATAATCACAAAGCAGCTAACTGTTGTAAGGGATGGCGAAAATGATCTGGCATGCAAATATACCTTTGGTTCAAAGGGAACGTTTCTTTAGGAAACGTCACCCTAACTTAACCCTAACTTTGATTTAACTACTTTAATCTATAGTTTGCACATGCAAAACAGGCAAGAATTGGTGATTTTATCATAAGGATCCCACCTTTACAGAAAATCTTTGGAGTTTACAGAGCTGTTCTCCAGGCAGCAGAGCTGTGGGGATGAACTCTCGATCAGAATATAAGTATTCATAAACTTAATATCTTTGTGCACAGAGAATGCAGCCTTTTTGTGCCGTGTGGTGTAAACATGTTAACACTGTGCAGTTACAGAAACAGACAGCTAAGCCGCCTAATTCACTGTAGTCCATATTGAGTCAATAGAAGGGTTAGTGTACCACCTGGTGGCCAGACTGTGTAACTGCAGAATGCACACAAAACCAAACAGACACCAGTTTCCAGGAGTTAAACCCATAGTCAAGCAAGCTGATTGCAATGTCATTAAATTAGAAAAAATATTCTGAGCATTTTGGAAGATAAAAACCTTTAAAAAACAGCTCACAGATATATATTTTAATTTCTTACCTTAAAAAAAGGCTCCGTATTTCCCATTTTAACTAATGTTACTCAACATAGTGCATTTGTCAAAGCTATTTTCAGTGGCAGATTAAAACACATTTGCTTCTCTGTTCCAAGCAGCATTACAGTGTCCACACCTGACAGATGCAACTGAAAGCTGTCTATCCTTGTGTGCAATGCAGCGACATTAAATGTTCAAGTGTCTCAGACTAAGAGGAAAAGAAGTGATGGATAAGGGGAGTCCGCCGTAATATTTACTGTAAGGTTACTGTTAGGTCAGCGTCATCTTATAACAACTCTGTAACATGATGGTCACTGTGTCAGTCTAACAGCCTGCGATGATCTGTGTGTGTTCAGGTGACGAAGAGGACGATGAAGAGGATGACCTCGATGGGCCAAGGGGAAAGAGAGCAGCTGATGATGATGATGATGAAGAGGTGAGGAAGAGTGCCATAATAATTCAACAGTTTCCTGGAATAGTGTCCTTGTTATTTCTGATAATCTACAGAACACAAGGTCAACACATTTTATAGTGTAGGGAGTATTTGTTTGGTAGAAAGTAGTTCCCATAAAAACAGTTCATCATTCACTGACACTAACTATACAGCACACTGTATTTACCATCATTCATCCTCAAAACTGCCAACAGTGGAACTAAAAATACAACATGGTGGTCTATGGTGTGTACGGAACTTTCTGCTAACTGTACCACGACGCCACACATTGTGTTTAGATGCATAAATCACTGTGATATGACCCTACAGCTGTGGGTGATGATGCAAAATGATTAATATGTGTCTAAAATCTGAATTTGCTGCTCACCGTTGAGTTAACCACTGAGTGTGTGTTAACAGGGAGTAATGAATTACTTAACGAGGGAGCGCTTTTGGACACAGATGGGGTTGTAGTATTTCTGGAAATAATAGTTGCTGTTGCACATAAATGTCATCCTCAGCTGTGAGCACCATAAATTAAATTCCATGAAGCCATTGTACTGGTGGAGGCAGACAGCTCAGAGACAGATGTCTCTAAACTTGTGTAATTAGGACCAAAGCATGGCTAGATACTCTACCACCAGGGGTAAAGGAGAGATCATGCTTGGGGTTTATGTAAAGTGACCTTTGAATGTCCAAACTTAGATAATATGGTTAACACAACTCTAATTCAGGGCCCTGAGGAGTCATCTGTATTGGTAAAGTGTTAACCCTGAAGATTTCTGTTGCGTTGGATGAACAGAAAATACCTGATACATCAAACAGATCCCAGGTTTCCATTTAAACAACACACATAGTATGGACCATGAGACCCGGGAGCTCACCTTCTAAGTCTCTAGTCTAATGGCAGGGATCATCTGCACAGCTCAGAGGTACTAAAGTCTTTACTAACCTGATGGAGACTCAATGTAAAATCAATATCAAGGAGAGGAGAGACTGAACATCAGTCAGCTAGTGACAGCTGCCGGCTGAGTACAGGACGATCACTAAAAGCTCAACTGTACATCAGCAACAGCAAATTCAGCTTTACATTGAAGTACTATCACCAGGAGTGCAGTAGAGAAGGAACATACTCTAATTGAATGCAACCTTTAAATTAGTTCAGTCAACATAAACACAGCCAACTTTAATGGAAACACACTGTAACCTCATTGTATTACCTTCATCAATCTTGTTTTCGATGCACTCAGCAAGATAGCAACTGGTGACTTACACATTTTGCCCTAATACCCCCTCCATTTAAATAAGGGGCAGGCTGAATGGAAGGATGACAAACTGATATAACTGATCTGGAGAAGCAAAGAGAAGGAATTCTCTGTTTTCTGAGTGAATAGGAAGGTAAAAGCTGAGTGGTAGGTGCTGGTGCAGATGCTGCGACCCGTAACCCTTGGACATCGTCTCTGGGCTGAAGCCAACAGCCTGCAGCACCCTAGCTGGTTCATGATGTGAGAGCAGTTGGTCCCATGCATCATGATTAGGGTTAGCCCGACTACCCTGATGATCCCCGGCCTCTGGAGCCTGGCTCAACTGCTTTCCGTGCTTCAGTGCTCCAGCAATATCTCAGCAGCTAGTGAAAGACCAACCATAGGCTCAAAGCTAGCTGCTTGTCTTTATGATAACAAACTAGGCTAGGAAATCTTGCAACTGGTGAAAAAGCCAGCATGAAGACGCTTGAGAACCTCCAGATAGGAAAGAAGGAGAGGTACCCCTGTCAATCACAGCCTTATAGGACAACAGATTGCTCTCATAGACATAAAGTCACAGGCAGCTGAGGACACCAAACAACACAGACTGTGCTTGCTTACCTCTTTTGGACCTGCAAGAAACATAAAGAACCAAAACACAGATCTATGGTGCAGAGAGCGACAGGCTAACATGTGGTATTTATAGCTGTGACTTTGTATACTGATGTAACCACTTTGTTTGCTGCCACAGTAAGGAATAAAACACAATCTAAAGTCATGACGGCAGCCCTGTCCCCCTAGTGGTCACTAAAGATATTGCTGTATTCACCTGAGATGGCACCTCTCACTTTGTTCTCTTTTATTCCCAGGACGAAGTTGAAACCAAGAAACAGAAGACAGACAAGTAGAGTGTGTCTGGAGGACGCCACCATCAAGAGACAGCCAGTTTTCCAGCAAACCTTCAACACCTCAGTCCTCCCTTCTTAACAAGAATACTTTTAAAAAAAAAGAGAATTTGTTTGTATTTTTATTTACATTTTATATTTTTGTAAATACTGTAAGGAGGTCGGCCATCTTGCAACAGTGATCTTTCTGGGTATCAAGTGGTGCTTTGAAGATTTTTAGATCCAGACTCGTCATCGTCGTCAGCCGTCCACATTCTGTATGAACCGACCAGAGGCATCCAGCCCACGAGTCCATCCACAGGCTGGATGTCCCACCCCCGGCTTTCTTTTATTACAATATAAGATACTAGGGTCAGTAGGAACAAGGTGTGTGTTGACCTGTAGTCACATGGGATTGTTACAGTGACTCGGCGCTTCTCACAGTGCTGAGTGTGTATTAGTTGTAGTTTGTATGAGATTCCAAGGCTGTAGTTTCTGCTGTCCGTCTGTCTCTGTTCTTCTGTCTGTCATTGCCAGATCTGAATGTTTTTTATGTCTGTGCTACTTTGTTGAACAATAAACAGCCATTTGATTTTGTTTGTAACTGTGTTAGTTTCTACTTGTCAGTTGTGTGTAAAAAGAAAGAAGGGAAGCAGTTATCTGTGATGTGCGATCTTTTCACCCGTTTCAAAATAGAAATCAGATCAGCTGATGTTTCTGTTTGGACAGCCAGGATATCACATCTACCTTTTTGTTTTTCTTTTAGATAACTGGTTACTATGCCATGTGGTTGAGGACTGTAAAACACAAACTGACACATTAACTGTTGGAGACTCTCTTCATACATTTTCTTTTGAAATATATTCAGCTTGCCGGGTTGCACCTGTCCTGGTTGACAGTTTCAATAAAGTTTGTTGAAAACAGTGGACTGGGGGTCATGTATTTCAAACCATCTTGGCATCCTCTGCACATTCCAAAACAAGTGTAGCAGTGAGTAGCTGCACAGGAGAGATGTTATCCAAGGACAGAGGGATGTCGTGTGTTGGTAAGCCCTCCGAGGCAAACTGGTTTGTAATGTTTGTAATGGCTTTATAAATAAAAATGAAAATGGGATAAAGCATGAAGTCGGGAGCTGCTCCAGAGACAATGAATGGGAGCCTGGTTTTGTGGACCCACAGAACAATTGTTTTCTTTTTTATATCCAAATGAGTTTTATTCTATTGTGGTGTTCTCAGCTCTGAAACAGAAAATGTACCCATATACTCAGAACATTCCTCTGGGTGCTCTCAGTGTCATCTATAACATCTTTCACCATTCATTGTCTGTGAAGCAGCCCCAGACTGTATTCCCTACAACATCACAAATTGGAGTTTTAGCACTCTAGTTTTTCAATTTTGATTTGGCAGAGAACTTAATATCTCTGGGTTGTGGAGAAAACAAGGTATTTGTGGATGTCATCTTGGGTTTTTGGAAACACTGATTGACATTGTTCCCCATATTCTGGCATCTTATAGAAAGAATAACTAATAGATTAATTGAGGAAATTTTCAACAGATTGATCAGTGAATAAAAGTCCTTTATTGTCATTTTACTAGCACAATGACATTAAAAAGCTGCAGCTGTACACAGTGCAAGTTAAAAGGAATAACAAGTGACAACCCAGAATAATCATCACGTCACCCATAAATAAGAATGAAATAAATAATAATCAATAACAATAGGCAGATGTTATTGCACTTATTGAATGTAATGTCACCCAGACTAGAAATGAAAATTAGGACAGTTAGTCCAGGGAAAGAAACTCTGCTGTCTTTAACATTATCCAAATACTTTTGTCAAATACTTGGCCAACAAAACTGATTTTGATTCTGGAGGTAAGATGCTCGAATTACATTGCAATACCAAGTCAGGAGGTGCTAATCCATGAAGAGTTTTGTGGTAAAAAGTTCATGTAAAGCATACATAAATCAAGTTATTTTACTAACCATACAGTATTTGCAATGGTGTACCCCAGGGTTCTGTGTTAGGTCCGCTGTTATTTTCAATTATATGAATAGTCCTCATTTACTGTATATGTGTACGACACGGCGATATATTGTGCTGGCTCATCACTAACAGAGGCTGTGGCCAAACTGCAGGCTGTCTTTAACGTTATACAGATTCAGCTTTCACAACTAAAGCTGGTTTTAAATGCTGATAAAACTAAGGTTAGGCCTTTCTCAGACACTAGGAAGTAGCCTGTGAACACTCCTGATGTTCTTACTGCTCAGGGAAAGAAGTTAGAGGTTGTCACTTGTTACAAGTATCTCTGTATTTGACTTGATGATGCCCTTTCTTTTAAACTTAAGGTTGATAATCTCCTTAAGAAGCTGAGGCTGAAGTTAGGATTTTATTTCAGAAACAAGTCATGTTTGTCCTTTAAGGCCAGAAAAAGACTGGTTGCTGCTACGTTTTTACCGGTTCTGGATGATGGTGATCTGTTGTACGTGAATGCACCTGCACATTGTTTACACGTGTAAGATACTTCTTATCATAGTGCACTAAGATTTGTTACAAACTATAAAGCCCTCACTCATCACTGTACGCTTTATTCCAGGGCTGGTTGACATCTTTGACCTTTCACAGACCCAGTCACTGGTATTTGTTAATTTATAAAGCCCTACTGGGTAAGCTCCCTTCATACATTGTAGTTTGATTAAACAGAGATCTGACTGTAGCTACAGTCTGAGATCTCAAGACTCAAGTTTTGTTGTCTGTTCCTGGTGCTCAGACTGAGCTGGGAAAGAAAGCTTTTGTGTGCTCTGCTCCTCTCACTTGGAATAACCTACAAAAGAGTTGAAACTATGTGAACTGGTCTCTCTGCCTGACTTTAAAGCTCTCATAAGTACAAGGATGAATTAATCTGTTGGGTCTTGTCATCATGCATAGGTGTTCTAATATTTCTACATGTTACTGTATATTCATTCATTTTCATATTCATATTCATTCACATCTTCTGGGTGATACATTTTACAAAGATTAGGTTGCTATGGCCTTAGATATGAAAAAAATATTTACAATCAGCCAAATATTTTTGTGTGTTATGAGCTGAAAGTTTGATACATATTCAGAACAGATGTTACAAATTCTTGATTTAGGTCTCAGGATTGCAAAATTCTGGTGAAATTTCTACAAACTATTGAAGAGGTTTCAGAAGCAGAAGAATGTGTGAGATCATTTCCTCCTGTTGTCAGAGTAAGGTACTCTCCAGCTCACAGTTTGGGTGAAATCACAAAGCCGCAGCACACAGAGTTAATATAGTTATATAGGAGCTGTTGGCATTTGAACAAAGTTGTGGGACAGTGTCCATCCTCCAGTCTGATTTAACAGTGAGGTATGATGATGAGAGTGAAAAGAGGCCATCAAACCACAAGTCACTTCACCAAACAGGAGGGACAAAGATGACTAAGTATGAGGAATTTCTTATTGTGTATAAACTGAATTTTGTAAATGAGTGAATAAAAAAAAAAAACTGGCAACAGTTGGCTGAATGTTAATTAGCTGATTATTTAATGATACAGACCTGTGGCCTGACCTCCCATATGACGGAGTCCCTGGAGAGGGTGGTCCTGTCATATCTCCATCACCTGGTTCAACCATCACTGGACCCCCTTCAGTAACCAGCTGATGGTGGGAGTGATAGACAACATCATCTTCCTGCGTCACCCTGCCCATGCCCACCTGGACAGGCCAGGCAGCACTATGAGAGTCACATTCTTTAAATTTCTCAAGTGCGTTCAACACCATCTGGCCTGCCCTGCTGGGGATTAAGCTGATGGTGATGAAGGTAGATTTTGGATTGTGGACTGTCGGCAACAGTATGTTAGACTGCCGGCATGTCCGACAGTGTGGCAAGCAACACAGGGCCCCAGAGGGCACGGTCATGTCACCATTTCTGTTCACCTTTCATGCCTCAGACTTCAGATACAACTCTAAGTACTGCCACCTGCAGGAGTTCTCCAATAATAATAATAACAATAATAATAATAATAATAATAATAATAATAATAATAATAATAATAATAATAATAATGGGGGCGGCATGGTGGTTAGCGCTGTTGCCTCACAGCAAGAGGGTTGCCGGTTCGATCCCGGGTGTGGGAGCCCTTCTGTGCGGAGTTTGCATGTTCTCCCCGTGTCAGCGTGGGTTCTCTCCGGGCACTCCGGCTTCCTCCCACAGTCCAGACATGCAGATTGGGGATTAGGTTAATTGATAACTCTAAATTGTCCATAGGTGTGAATGTGAGTGTGAATGGTTGTGTGCCTCTATGTGTCAGCCCTGCAATAGTCTGGCGACCTGTCCAGGGTGTACCCTGCCTCTCGCCCAATGTCAGCTGGGATAGGCTCCAGCCCCCCTGCGACCCTCAAGAGGATGAAGCAGTTAGAAGATGAATGAATGAATAATAATAATGATAATAAACTTATTTCATATAGCACCTTTCAAAATACAGTTACAAGGTACTGCACGATAAAACTAAACACAAAACACAAGAAGAATAAAACAAATAACATGTCATAAAATGTAATCTAGTAAAAGATAAAATAAGGAAGGCCAAAGTTAAAATCAAGATAACAAATGGGCATTAAAATCAGTAAGATCAATAAAATAGACAGACAGCTCAGATAAAGTCGGGATATGCTTTCCGATAGAAGTACATTTGTAGGAGAGACTTAAATGAAGCCAGTGACTCAGACAGCCTTATATCCTCAGGCAGGTTGTTCCAAACCCTGGGGGCCCTGATGGCAAAAGCTCTGTCCCCTTTGGTCTTCAGTCTGGACTCTGAGACAAACAGAAGATCCCCGCCTGAGGATCTCAAACTACATAAAGGTTCATACGGGACTAACAGGTCTGAAATGTAGGGAGCCAGGCCATGAAGAGCCCTAAAAGTAATTAATAAGATCCCTGGAGCCAAATCATTACAACTTTTTGATCCATAGGATATAATGGCCACTATCATGGACATAATCAAATATATTTGAATAAACATATCAAATTATCCAAATACACTTAATCTGTACTTGAGATTTAATATTAGCCATATTTATCTATAAGATCCTCACCAATAAACAAACTGTGTGCACATACTTGCACCTTTAAAAATATTTCATATTCGCACTCTTTCCTACTTTGTATTGCAAGTGATGCACAACAACTTCCCTCGGGATAAATAAAGTTGTGCCTCATTCTGAAAACTCATTTTGGTTTTATTGCTGCTTACAGATGATATTTTAATAAAAGGCTCTTTGTCACTGAGGCTGTGAAAATTGGACTGAGACATAAACTGTTGCTACATTACCATAAAACTCACACCACTCCTAATTCTTGGCAATAACTTTATTAAGAGAAGTGCCTTTGGCATCTTTTCAGTCACACATGCAGGCATCAGATTGAATATATGATTGTCCAGAAATATTCATCTTATTCAGACATTCAATTGCATCCATCTGACACAAACCAGTTCAGAGGAAAACTTTGGCAACTGGTTTGCCTCTCAAAGAGCAAAGTGTGATGACCTCCCTGTTTTACACACGGATTGTGGAATTTGAAGTGTAGATTTGTGTATCACAAAGAACAACAAGGCTGTTGGTTGATGCATTGAAGTGTCAACACTGATAGAAAAGGTGAAAATATCTGAGAGGGTGGAGATGGAGCTGTCTGAGCTGAGGTCAGGGGTCACGTAGGTATGCGGCTGCGGAGGTACTCCAACACTGCATCTGTTCCTTTGGCCACGATGGCTGCTCTGGGTGTGCGGAAAGGATTCCCATCCAGACTGAGACACCTGAGGAACAATAGAGATTTTACAGTTAATGGTTTTTGAATCTTATTTTCACCATTTCTAAACTAGAAATAATTTCCTGGAGTGCCCTCTAGTGGAATTCTCCAGTAACATGCACAGTACACAGGCAAGAATGTGACCAATTCTGTTCACAACCCAGAAAACTGTCAGCACAAATGTGTGGTTAATAAGCCAGTATATCTGCGGCCTAACACAAGTTGGGACATCATACAGGACATCTGGCAGACTGTAATTCATACCTGAGGGTGGTACACAGGCCCAGTTCAGGGGGGATGTTCAGCAGGTCATTGTTTGACAGATCCAGCGTTGACAGATTAACCATCTTAATCAGACGATGAGGGTCCACCTTGCCCACCTGGTTGTTACCAAGCAACACTGTCTCCAAGGAAACTATCTCATAGAGGACTTCAGGGAAGGACTTGAACCTGTGATCAGCACAAAGACTCTTAGTGGACAAACTGTAGAAGACAGTGCAGCTAACTGATTTGTTTTCAATAATAAATAAAACATATTAATGATCTATTGGTGTCCTAATAGATCTGCTATTGGAGCTGCAGAGTTACTGAATTCTTTAACACATTATGGAGTGTTTATATGCTGTGTGTCCTTTATCAGTATCTCTTCCTTATGTCTCTCTCATATCCCCTTCAGCTGAGAGGAGGGGAGGAGACAATTGAGGGAAGTGATGTTAGCCACAGGTTACACTGGAACACATGACCTCCATGTGACATCAGCAGTGACACTAAACTCATTACTATGATCCCTCTGAGGTCACGTTTGAGCTCAGTGTTTGACACAGTGCTCTAAGTCTTTACAGGATTGAAGGGCCTTTTTAAGTCATCATGCTAAAGACCACACAGATTTGTTTGGTACAATTTGAATGATTCTACACAGTATGTTTAAGTATAGTATCAATAACCATAATAAAAACAATTCATTAATCGCTCTAAGTGAATGCTGATGCACATACGTCTTGGATCAGAGAGTTACCTGTTGCAACTGAGGATAATAGAGCGTAATTTAGTTAAGTTCTTCATATCAGATGGTAAATCACTCAGCTGGTTATTCCTGAAAGAAAAGAAAGCAGAACAATGGTGCAACATGAACCCTTCACTGTTGGTTCTAAATCAAATACTCTCACATTCATGGCTTCATGTGCCTGTTATAAAGTTTTGACTTTGTACTCAATTCTCTTTGTTTAAACAGGACATGACCTCTATGGATAGAGCTGCAGTGCTTGCACCATATTCAGAGCTGTGACACAATTAATGATCATCATCACACTCACATCAGTCCCACTTCTAAGTTGTCTAATCTAATCGAGTCTGTAGATCTTCTTAAAGTAAAAATCTGCCACTTTTTATATGACGTCCAACCAGTGTTGATGGCCACTGTGTGTTGTATTGACTGAGAGCGCTGAAATCACAGCTGCAAAATCTGTTGTTCTTCCTGAATGGAAGATGAGGATACATTTTGCAGGGCTGGCTGACTCAGATATTCAGCCATATTTATTTGAGCTAGAATATTTGGCCAAAGAAATGCAGCAGAGAGAAGCCGAGGTTATGGCTGCATGAGCTGTGCAGAGGATACGGGGACCCTCCAGACCCTGAGCTGCTAAAAGCAAACACCTACTGGTGGTGCCTTTGCTTAAATTGCCTTGTGATGTTAACGAAAACGGAATCATTCTGCTGCAATGAATTTTAGCATGGGTGGAGCTCATGTGTGTGTTACTATGTATGAAAATTAAACTTCTCACTTGGACGGATGTGTGCTGGAGACTTTCTTCAAGATCTCGAAGATAAAATGGAGAAGACAACCAAGACTAGCAGGGCCGAGAGGGCAGATGACCACTGAGTGAGTATTTGTCACCTAATGCTATTTTTTGGCGTGCTATGCATTCTGGTGCCATTTAGGCAAACTTTGGCTTTTAAATTCCATAAAATCAATACCGTCGTTTTTTAGATAAAGTATAGAATTGGACTGTTTTACACATTGTGACAGTTAGAAAAGACAAACATTTGGTTTGGACTCATTTCATTCCTATTTGCTAACAAACTGTATTTGAAGTATTTTACTGCATATTCAGACTGCAAGCAGTAAACATGAACAAAACACTGAAGGTCTGATGATTTGTGTTGTTGTTGTTGTTTTTTTGATTCTGCAATAGGAGTGTTTGCAGCTTTGTAATCTGAGTATCTTTGGGTATCAGACTCTTGGACAAAACGAGACATGTGAGGACATCACATTGGACCAAGACTGTCAGCTGCAGCCCTCCATGTGAATACTGTGGAAGCAGAACTGTAAATGCATGTTGGTTGATTTGTGTGCCTGTGTGTGTGTGTGTGTGTGTGTGTGTGTGTGTGTGTGTGTGTGTGTGTGTGTGTGTGCCTGAGGTCGATGTGTGTCAGCTTCGGGAACTTGCAGACATCAGGAGAAAAGCAGGTCAGTCTGTTGAAACCCAGATTGATATCTGAGAGTGAGGAGAGGAACTCCACCAGCCTGCACACACACAACATGCATGTGGTTAATAAACTGTGGTCAATACAATCTTTCATCTCTGTCAAACAGTGATGATGATGATGATGATGATAATGTGTGTGTGTACCTGGGAGGTATGGATGTCAGCTGGTTCTTGCTGAAGTTAACTGTGGTAACACTTTCACCTGCTGCAGCATCAAACAGCTCATCTGGAATATGATCTGCCTGCTTCTCACTGAACACAAACACACACAGTTACCCTGAAATGTATTAATATCCAACTATGCAGCTTTTATTTTCTTTTTGATCAGTCATGACAACATTGTAGTCACGACAACAACACAACATTGTCAGATGATCAGATGGGCCGGAAAGAAGCACACCAAAAATGTATTTTTTGGCACTTTGAGCACCACGAGCTGAGTTCCATCTAATTCCATTATATTGGAGAGAAGGCAGACATCTTTACAGCTGATATCATCAACAGTCACCAACTCACACCAAAACAATCTAGACTGATAAATAGCACTACGGGTAAGAGGAAAAATATATATTTTTGATTTTTGGTTGAACTGTCCCTTTAAAAGCAGAGACCTGGAACAACCAGCTCCTTCAACACAGTATGTGACAAGATAGCAGCTGTATGTGAGAAGCATATAACTCATTATGAAGTTTTCCACACGAGTGTGTCACTGACCTGTATTCCACTAACTTGAGAGTTTTAATGTTGTGTACATTGACCCTGGCTTGGCTGGGTAACGTCATGGCTGTCTGTCCATCATCTGCTTTCTCAGGCTCCTCTGCAACACACAAATGCACAAGCACACACACACACACAAACTTCAGGATGCCATATAAGCTCTTTACTTTCTGTTTATTCTATTGATAGTCCCTATTATTAATGTCCAACATTTGATTAATTGAAAAGAAAAAAAAAGGTAAAGAATCTTGAAGATTTCTATTCAGGTTGATTTATTAGTTACACTGGTAACAACCCTGGTGAGGTCAGTGGTGAAAACGGCTTTAAATCAGCACAAAAAATGTACTGTACCTTTAATTCTTCCTCTTAAATATTTCAGAAGCTCATTGGTTCCTTTCTGTGATGGGGACAACAGCAGACGAGTGCAAGCAGTTAGAAAAGTAAGTACATTGGACATAAGCATTACCAGCTGACACATACATACAGAACCATCTCTAAACCCATCACCTGCACCTGCATCACCCGCATCTACAAAAGATATCTCATTAACGTATGACTGCTGTGGTGGGAAGCAATACCTATTAAAGCTGTCAGATAGAAACTTTCCATATAAAGGAACCTATCCTAGAAGACATCAGTCCTTACTGGTTCACATGCTGAATCTTTGCTTTGGGAACAAGCAGATTTTTTCCCAGCTGTTCAAATACTTCCACAGTCTATTGTGTTTTATATTTGTACTTCATTTTGATCAGTTTGTGTAGATTACGAGACCCCGGTGTATAACACAAAGAGAACTGTATAGTAAACTTAACTCCAAATGTTAATTATATTATTAAAGGCAGCCTGTGGACACAGAGGCGTGGAGCTCCCAGAGTGGGGGAAAGACAGCCGACAGTTTGGATGGCCTGTTGGTTAATTTGTTTGAATTACTGTGCAGTTAAAAACTAAACCAACGTGCGGATTGGTGCCCTGAGTGATAACAGGCTGCGTTTGTCAATTGCTCCATCTCAAACAATGCACTACAACCTAAAATATTAGTGAGATAATGTAAGGAAACTTTGGGATTCATGACCTGAACATGTTAAATTACACTGTCACAACATTATTTTTCATGCCCCACTTAGTGGTGTTATTCAAACATATCAGATACAAACTCTTTTCAAACATCACTCCAGCTAGTTAACATAACGGAACACAGGGAGACAAAAATGTTACATATTGACATATTTACATTATGTGGAGGGTTATCCACAGAAGACTACTGTAACAGTTTCATTACACACAATAAAATTCAATATCTTTTAAAAAACTTCAAGGATTTTACTTATTCCATGACCTTTCCAGGTTTTCCATGTCCGTGGGAACCCTGTTCGCAGTGTATTCTATTCAAGGATTGTGAAAACCAAGAAAGATAACTAAAACAAGGGCTATAACAACAATGATGTGAGCACCCACACTGATGAACAATAACATTTCACAGCCAGACTGAGTGATTAGAATAGACGATGTAAAAAGTGTTTTCTAAATTAGAAACCATCCACCGGAGTTAGAACAATTTATATTTACAGTTATTGTTATCTGTCTTATTGTAGATGGGCCTTAATACTGTGATTTCAGATGGTGTTTGTACAGACTAAACTAACACTGGGTTATCTTCCGTTTTCCTGTGTGTGTGTGCTGTGTGTGTCACGTACAGTGAGCAGGTCTCTCCTGATTCCTCTCAGAGGGTTTCCCTCTAACAGTAACACCTTCAGATTGGGCAGCAGGCTGAGAGATGCTGGAAGACTGACAGGGAAAAGTCAGTGACAGCTGTTAGCTCACACAGTCACACTCACAACAAAGACAGAATTGAGGATTAAATCACAAAACACCCAGTATATAATACAAAATAAAGTAGGAGTGCGTGAGAGACTGGTAAGAGAGTGGTTATACTGGTTACTGACTGAATGTTTGCACACAAACAATTAACTAGTGTGATGATGCTGGTGACCTACGTGCCAATATCATTGTTGGTCAGGTCGAGGCGTGTGAGCGTGCTCAGTAAGGTGATCTGTTCAGGGAGGGTTTGGATCTTGTTGTCTCGAAGTTCTAGAAAAGAAATGGCTGTCAGGCAGGCCAGGTTCTCCGCATCCAATTGTTCAATCTGGTTGTTCCCGACATACACGTCCTACGCACACACACGCACACACACACATACTTCATTATAATGACATAAATGTTTCAGAAACACACAGAAAGTTCAGTCAGCATTAACCACACCACAAATGAGCCTTTCACCTAGGGAAACTCTCATGTTGCTATGGTTACCTTGAGCGCCGGTGCAGGGAGCTTTGGGAGGAGGCGGAGCTTGTTGTGTCTAAGGTAGAGCTGCTCCAGAGCGATCATCTCTGATATGCTGGCGGGAATGTCAGTCAGCTGGTTGTTGCTGCAGTCCAACAGCTTAACACCTGTCAAGTAAAGTCAGACCTCAATCAGATGGACACTGATGACCGTCTCTCAGTGTAGTGTAAAGCCATGTTGTTCTCACCACTCTGCTGCTCACGCTTTCTCTGTTTTTAACACAAAGACTCTTCACACTCACTAATTATCTCCAAACACTTCGTCTTTCATTTTCTTTTTTGCAACTGCTGTTAAAGTACTGACATTGAAACTTTACCGTGTTTGCACATATTTCAAATTAAAAGCCTGGCAAGAAAAGAAGGGACTGAGCCCTTTTAGCCATTGAAAGGCTTCTAATGTTATATGTGTACAGGAAGTGTTACGTTTCATTAAAAGCAGCTTCTAAAATATCAAACAGAATAACAGCCTTGCGTTTGTGTGCTTTTGCCAACCAGTCAATTTGCAGTTTGCATCCATTTGTGTCCAGACTTGTATAATATAAGTAGTGAGGACTGTGAGGGAATTTAATGAAATTAAGTTTATTTTTGGGTGAAACATGGATGTTTCACACTCGGGCTTGGCAATATGTTGATATTATATTGAGATATGAGACTTACACACTGTAACATCAAAAGTATTGTTTTTTAAGGCTGCAATACAGTAAAGTGATCTAATTTTCTGAACTTACTAAACTGTTCTAGCTGTTCTATAATTTGCCTTTACCCACTTAGTCACTTTATCCACATTACTGATGATTATTGATAAAAATATCTCTCTTTGTAAATATTCTGCAAAATTACCAATAGTCAACCCCACATTATCACTGCAATATTGACATCAAGGGTTAAAAATATGTAGATTTGAGAGTCTTTCCATATCACCAGCCCTACTTCACACACAGCTTCAAAGCAGCAGCACAAAGGATCTATATAATCAGCAGTTTCAAGATGGACGCCAAGGATTAGTGTCACCAGTTCAGTATCTGTTAAATGTCACCTCTTCTCTTCCTAAGATATGACGATGAATAATTGCCAGCAAAGTGTTTTTGCAGAACATTATGATGTTGTGATGAAGTTGACCTTTGACCTTTGAGATAAAAATTTCATTACTTTTTCATTTTATCCCATTTTGTCATAATTAGGGCATTAATTGATGAGTAATGGCAAAAAACTTGTTTGGTATGGTCACAGTGACATTTGTGCCAAACTGGAAGAACTTCCCTTGAGAGGTTCCTGAGGTATCGCTTTCACAAAAAAAAGGATAGACAAACTGACGGATGGACAACCTGAAAACATGATGCCTCTGGCCATGGTTGTTGGTGGTGCAAAGGCATAAAAAAACAGAAATGTACAGTATTTGGTTTAAAATGAGAGCACCAGAGTGATGAGTACGACATGACCTCTGACTGAATCAGGGCTGTGCAAATGGACACTATACTGATATTTTCAAGACAACAGGTAAACATTGAAGACCTTGTGAGTTCGCATTAACAGCAAACAGTCTTGCCAGCAAATTAAAGCAAGAAAAAAACACACTAAAGTATGATAACATATAAAAAAAGCATAAAGCAGAAATAAAGCCCTTTCGTAAATCTAAACCTGTTTCAAAAAAGATAAAGATAAATCGATCGATAAATCGATAAATAGATCAAGATAAATTAAGGCCACTCTTCAGGTGTGAAAAGCAGCCATGCAAAGAAGCAGAGAAGCTGAAACACAACACAGCTGATCTTACTTGTGAGCTGGGCCACGCTGTCAGGCAGACAGCTGAGCTTGTTGTGAGACAGGTTCAGTGTCTGCAGACAGGTGAGACTTCCCAGGCTGGAGGGCAGGCCCTTCAGATGGTTGTTGGACAGGTCCTTTAATCGATCACAACAGACAGGACGCATCCGTCAGCCCATCACACAGCACAACAGAATGGGAGTGTAATACACTACACACAGTATGTGTTAGTTACCAGCTGGGTCAGGTTCTCCAGTTGTCCCAGTTCCTCTGGCAGGCTTTCCAGCAGATTCTTCTGGAGAGTGAGACTACAGAGGTTCTTTAGAGTACACACCTCCGCTGGCAGTGATGTCAGCTGGTTATGACTGACCACACAGGAGAACAAACACTCATTAGAATGTCGTCCCACAAAAAGAGCTTAATGCTGCTGCCAGATAATTAGACCAGTTAGAGCTGTGACACCCTGTGGTGGGTGCTGCAAGTGTTTCAATACAAATAAAAGCGCTCGGCAGATTCGCATTCATAGAAACCTTATTTATATGTCATGATGGATCTTGGTTTTGTGTGTGTGTGTGTGTGTGTGTGTGTGTGTGTGTGTGTGTGTGTGTTTGCGTGTGTACCTGAGTCGCAGTTGCTGGAGCTCCTGCAGTTCTCCCAAAGCACTGGGTACACTGCTCAGCTGGTTGTCGTGGAGCTGCCAGGGCAAATGATAACATTTTAGTTTTAACAGCTAGAATGATAAATGCTACTATGAGACATCAGTAACATTTATCATTTTGACACCACTTTATCTCTGGGTCAATTTAATCCACAACGCATCCCCACTGCCCCCCATCGCCCTGTGTGACTCCCCATTCAACGAGTCTCCTCATCACCAGGACCTAATGTGGGAACTGAACATCAGCTCCCTCATCAAAAAAAAAAAAGGATGTACATCCTGCAGCAGCTGAAGAAGTTCAATCTGCCAAAGACAATGTTGATGCACTACTACACCGCCACCATGGAGTCCATCCTCACCTCCCCCATCACCATCTGGTATGCCACTGCCACTGCCAAGGACAAGGGCAGACTGCAGCGAATCATTAGCTCTTCAGTGAAGATGATTGGCTGCAATTTGACATCCCACCAGGACCTGTACTTCTAGAACCGCCAGGAAAGACTGTGGCTGACGCCTCCCATCTTGTACACAAATTGTTTACATTAATTGCGTGGCTCTTAATTATTTTTAAAACAGATATATTGCACATACTTTTATTTTTTTTGTTTGTATCTTTTGTTTTCTCTCACTGTATTTACTGTTAAGCACCATAACACCAAGCCAAATTCCTTGTATGTGAAACATACTTGGCAGTAACCTGTTTCTAATTTCAAATGTGATTTTGGATCCACCAGTTAAAATGAGTTTCCATTTCTACACGATTTCAAAAATGTTTTGTTGTTCAGTTTTGTTCTTAATTAGTTGATTAAGTCAGTTTTCCTCCAACAGAAGCTGCGGTAACCTGAAAGAGACTTTTACTCAAGCTACTCAGAGGCAGACATAACAACGACCAGCATAAATTCACGGAAACCCATGACTGGTGGGAGATGACGATGTGTACTACTTCTTACTTACTTATTGCTTCTTACTGACTGAGCTGTAGTTACTTACATCCAGTGTAGTGAGTGCAGGCAGCAGTCTGATGTCATCAGACAGTTGTGTGAGCTGATTGGAAGAGAGCAGCAGTTTGGTGAGGTCAGTCTGTTCCCACCAGCGATCTGATGCTCCGAAGGACACATCCTGCTGTGCTTCCTCTGGTGTGTCGACGTTCAGACGATAAACGTTCTGAGGGACTGAGGCATGTGTTAATATGGTTATTACGCACACACTCATACATGTTTAGCTGGTTAAAGAGAAAAAAAAACAAAACAAGATTTTCAGCATCAACATTATGCACAAGTGTCACATGGCTGCTTTACAACACTGACTAGACCCCAACCGCAGAAGTGTGCTTGGGTTTCCAGCAGTGATATTACTGTCTGCCACTTTATGTATTTGTTACAGAAGGGGAATTCATTATTCAGAATTATTTTTTTCTTTACTGCCACTCATCTTCTTTTAGCTATTAGGAAGACTAAAATAGGATCTGGATCAATGATGGTCAGAAAGCATAAAAAATAAATGCTGCAGTGAATGCAGATGTAAATGTCCTTATAATCTCTGAGGCAGATATTTTTCCATTTTTATCCCTTTGAAACACACAAAAGGCAAAGTGACAGCAGGAGAACAGACACAGTGGGGTGGCACTATTACTCATTGTTGAAAGTCTTATATACACTGTAAACACCGATCAGCCACAACATTAAAACCACTGGCTGGTGAAGTGAATAACACTGATCATCTTGTTACAGTGCAATGTTCTGCTGGGAAACTTTTGGTCCTGGCATTCATGTGGATGCCACTTGACATGCACCACCCACCCAAACACAGCTGCAGACCAAGTATCCCCTCTAATGGGAAAGGCACTCCCTGATGGCAGTAACCATCAAACAAAAAAAAAAAAAAACAAAACAAAAAAAAAAAAAAAATAAAGAAAAGAAAAAAAAAAAAAAAAAAAAAATCAAAACAAAAAACTGAAAAACAAAAAAAAAAAACACCAAAAAAATGGAAAAAAAAAAAAAATAAAATGCCAAAACAAAGAAACAAGACAACAAAGGAAAACCAAAGAAGTCAAGAAACAAAGAATTGGCAAAAAAAAAAATAAAAAAAACCAAAAAAAAGGAGAAAAAAAAAAAAGAAAAACAGATAAAAGAAAAGAAAAAAATATAAAAAAAATTAAACAAAACATAAAAAAAAAATAAAAAAAGAATAGAAAAATAAAAATAATGAAAGAAGGAAACTGCCATCAGGGAGTGCCTTTCCCATTAGAGGGGATACTTGGTCTGCAGCTGTGTTTGGGTGGGTGGTGCATGTCAAGTGGCATCCACATGAATGCCAGGACCAAAAGTTTCCCAGCAGAACATTGCACTGTAACAAGATGATCAGTGTTATTCACTTCACCTGTCAATGGTTATAATATTTAGGCTGATTGGTGTAGTATGTTAAAGTTACATTCATCTGATCTACCACTAATCTATTGCAAGGCCGAACATCAACTGCAGTCAGAGTGAAAGCACCAATGTAGTTGCACGTCATCTAGTCTAGAGCATATGGGTTATGGTTCATAAAAATGGCAGAAAAAATCATTGTCTGCCCTCTGCCTTCTCTGACGAATATCTCCAGCTCCCGGTGCCTCTGCAGAGCCAAGAAAATTATTAAAGTCTGTTCCTACCCTGGTCACAAACTGTCCTCTCTCCTGCCCTCTGGTAGGAGTCATGGGAGCTTACAGTCACGCACAAATGAACTCAAAGATTTTACCTGTTAAATAATTTTCCTCTTCAGGTGCAATCCATTAATATCAAGTGCAATCCACTATTGATTTTACATTACAATGGCTTGATACAGCACATTTTTACACTATTAATTTCCTATTTTATGAATGATTATGTTGTCTATTTTTTACTTAACTTACTTGTTTCAATGACTAGTTAGCACCTAATCAGATATAACGTTAGCACTCCTAATCTCGATTTATATTCTATATACAATGATAATAAAAGCTTTGTATTCTATTCTATATCTACTATGCGTGCTTGAACATAACTTTTTTTTTTTTTTAATTTTATGTTCATACTCATCCAGCATAGTTTACATTGGACAAAAACTTTCAGTCATTCTCAAAAACAGGGTGAAAAACGTTACACCAAAAAAAAAAATAGCTGCAATATTATGAGAAATGTATATTAATATATCTACCTTATATTGTAAACACTGTCCTTTTTCTTTTTGTATTTCGCTCCAAGCGTTATATCTAGGCTTACATATTTCAGCACCATTTGGACCTAAATTAATGTGAACATTTCTACTGTCAGTGAAACCATATATATGTCTATGAGAGAAACTGTAACCAGTAGCTAACAGCTAACGAGGTAAAGTTACCTTCTGTTAGCCCTCGGCCGGACAGGTTGAGCTGGCCGCTCTTCCTGGCTGCCTTCAGCAGACCGTGAGGGACGGTCGGCTCCTTCTTCTCCGTCCTGAAGCCCGCCAGAGAGTCCACCTGACCCGCTTTTTTAAACCGAGACATTCTCCCAACAGTCCGTCAAATGTTGCTGGGAGTAGTGTTTACCTCCACCTCCACACCCCAACTGTCTTCCGCCCGCCAGCAGCAACAACAGCAACACTTCCGTCCAGAGTCCTTCAGAATAAAAGCAGTATCTTTCCAACACAATCAGACTTGCCACAAAACTACACAAAATACTCCTAACTAGCAAGGGCTGTACTTTCACTCGACACCAACTAATTTGTTGCGATTTAAGAAAAAAACACGAAACCCTTAAAAAGCAGTTCCCGACCCACATTATTTCTGGCAGATTAGTAGCAGTAGCATTACCTGCTTTTATTCTGAAGTGCACCCGAGCGTTTCGAGAGAAGTAAACCGGGGTTTGGTCAAAGATTCCACGACAGCGGCACTTTACATTATACTACATGATTGATTAACTTTATATCGTAACTATTAATGCTGCAACAATTAGTAGACAATGGTGAGGTTCAAAAAAACTTGTGGGCCCTCCAGCAGGAGCGGAGCCAGACAAATGCTCCTCTGGGGATACTTTTCCCCCCATTAACAGCAGCTGTATGCACTAACTTCAAGCAATTTAAGATAACAGAGTGCCCAAAAATCTGGACATCATCTGGGAAAAACATGATAATTGCCAAGTAAAAAAGTCATCCTGTGTAGCCTACATCCTATTTTTTTTTATCTAATTGTTCTCCAATATTCGTCATCATTCTGAAATTATCACACAACAAATGTTGAGGATGACTCATTTCACAAGAGATCACAAAGTGTATGTTTAGCAGACAGATCAGCTACATGCCAAGTAAATGTGGCTTTCAATATTTACTCAGTTATATTAGATTTCTTTTGGGAATAGCATAGCCTGATAAAAAAACATGGACATGTGTTATCTGAATGACAAAGTTAAAGAGATTTTGCAAGCCTAAAAGATTAGGGGCTTTTGAGGCTATATTGTGTGTTATCATATTACCAAACAAACCATTAGGCAACTGCACAAGGTTTCAAATGATCACAAATTGTGACATAATAAACCTGAGGTCTTCACATGCACCGCTTTGCTCAATGTGTTATCTGACCTTGCCTTGTAATATGTACCATTGTGCTGGAGAGACAAAAGCTGTGAGTCATTTTTAAGTAAGTAAATGGAAAGTTACCTAACATGATTCAGAGCTAATCAGGAACAGTTCATTAAGAAAGTGGTAAACATGTCCATTAGGAACTAATCAATATGTAATGATTAACAGAGGATCTGGCCTTATTATTATCTCCTGTGGACTATCTGGCTGTAGTCCTCCAGTTCACTCATTACCAGGTTGATCATGATTTGTTTTTCTCACTCATTCACTGATAAATACACAAAATATGGTGAACTTTATAAGATAATGTGTTGTGAATATATGTGCATTTAACCAGTGTACACAAGGCTGAATCACCAACTGGGCAACTGCCTCTAATTACGTAATTATTAACTACATAATCTTGAAGGTCAGTGTTGTGCAGTGGCTCTAAGTTAAAGGCCTTCCAGTTTGAGGGCCTTTATGATTGCAGACTACATTGCAGACTGTATTTATCACATGTCACCTGCCACCTGCCATCTTACTGTAACCAAAATAATAATATGCACTACCTGGCTTATACAGCCCCTCACACTGACCTGTGGTAGTGATACAATGATCCAGAGTTCAAGCGAACTTCTGGGCTATGTGTGATAGTGTGAATTAACACGCGTCCTATCTGGGATGTTTGAACAAGTTATTGATGGAAATTTAATCACTCTAGGTTCTAACAGATATCAGACCACCAGAGCTTGTGAACTCTTCTTGTGTTCTTCTACATGTTATGTAGCATGTAATATACAGGAACTGGCTGATGAGTAACACAGCAGATAACACACACACTGCCATATTTCATATTGTGACAACCTCCCTCTGGACTGTGAACTTTGACCATAATTAGAGTGAGCTGTGTGTGTTTCTCTCAGTGGTCCAGTGGAGCTGAAGGTCCAGTCCTGGTGTGTTGACTCGACTCGTTCTGGTTTATTCAGGATGTATTTGTCTTTCCTTGTGTTGTGTGTGCTGCTGTCTGCCTCCAGCTGCTCAGCTAACAAAGGTACAACTTTTCTATTCTGTTCCATCTCTCAATATATGAATCTATAAATTTGTAGTTATATTTTTATCTGTATGTGTTTGTGTGTTCCCCATTGGCAGCTGAATCTGTGTGTGTTTCTCTTTGTTGTTAAAGGTTCAGTGTGTAGGATTTAGGGAGATATGTTGCAAGAAATGGAACATAATATGACAAGTAGGTTTTGTTAAGTGTATAATCACCTGAAAATAAGAACCATTGTGTTTTTGTTACCTTAGAATGAGCAGTTTATATTTACATAGGGAGCGGGCCCTCATCTATGGAGATGTGTCTACAATAGCCCAGAATGGAAAAATAAGGGCCATTCATGTCACGGTTAAAAGCCCCTCTGTGATGACAGTCTCTGAAAAACACTGACTTTTGTAACATGAAACTGCTTAACTCAGTGTTTTTACTGGTTTTAATCACCTGCTCCGCTTGTTTTATAAAAGGAGAGACCTCTGCAGATGATTAAGCTCCCAGTAAAAACCTCCTGAACAACAAACACTGATTGAATTTTAACTGGGAGAAGCGTCAGCTGGATGCAGTCTGCACTCCTCATTACTAGATGCCACTAAATCTTCCTAAATCTTACACACTGTTTCTTCAACCTGCCAGTGTATTAGAGCCACTGTTGGTATGAAAGTTGTGAGAATGTTCTCTTGAACCTTCGCTCAAAACCTCAGCTCATTCTAAAGACTGAGATTCAACATGGCTCAAAGACAAAAAGAAATGCACTCATCTCAAATATGGCAGTGCATTTATTATCTGCTGTGATATAACTGGTGCACTATCAGCTCCCATTTTATTATACAGTGATCTGTTTAAAGTGCTGCACACACATACACCACATATGCTTAATTAATAGGGTGTGTGTGTGTGTGTGTGTTCAGGTGCACGGACTGGCTTGCGAGTAGCAGCAGGATCGCAGACAGTGACTCTTCAGCCCTGGTTGGTGGGTCTGACAGCTGTGGTCGGTTTCCTCTTCATTGTCTTCACCATCCTGATCGTTCGCAGATTACTCAGGAAGAACAGGTCAGCTACACACACACACACACACACACACACACACACACACACACTTTCCACATTTCACACAGCACCTCACTGTTGAGTAAATTGTGTAGGAAAAAAGAAAATATGTTTTGCTTTTCGATGACTGTATGGACTTGTGATTCCCACTTTTAAAAACATACAGAAGATGTGACAGATGTGTAGAACACTGCACAACATCTGGTTCACACTCTTGGTCCAAGGAATTAATGCTGAGAAACATTAACATCATGTGAACTGAGTTTCCCTTTGTGGCCTTGAATGTCACATGTGCAGCAGATACAGGGAACTCTAAATGATTGTCAGAGCCAGCTCAGGCTAACAGCTGTTTGTTGACTGAAGACAGTCTAAATGAAGCACAGTATGAATAGCTGATGGATCCAACAAAGCCTCTCTTTTGTTGTTTAGTAAGTCATGGTGGTGCCCACATATAAAGAAATGTCGACTTTTACCACCTCCACTCTGGTCTTGCATCAGGATTCGTGCTTATGACTCACTTTAACTGAACTGCCAGATAACTGCAAGTAAAACATGTGAAAGTTATAAAATAACCTGTGTGCTTGTTGTTGTTGTTGTCTTGTGTTGCAGGGACAATGAAGAGAGTTGTGGTTATGACAACAAGGCTGTAGAGATGGAGGAAGGTGATAACAAACAAACCAATCTGTAGAAGCCGCACTAGAGAGAGCCACTGCCATCACATCCACGTCACCTGTTCAACAGATGCTCTTTTCACTGAACAACATGGCAGCTTTATATTCGTTTTTGTCATGTTGAGTTTAATGAGAGCCTTTATTAATGTCTCTGTTGTGCTTTTTTTCTTTTAAAGCCAGGAAAAAATGTTATTTGCTTTTTATAAAATACATGGAGTCTTGAATGTATCAGCGCCACATTGATTAACTGCTCTAGTTCCCTGTCACCACCAGAGGGGCCCATAACACAGAAGATAAAATGACTCGCATCACTGCTGCTCCAGTTGTCGAGCTGTTTGTAACATGTATTATGTTTTCTTAGTTCAGTCATGTGTTGTGACCCACTACCAAAACTCTAATAAAACCACCTCCAATATAAGCTTGTATTTTTATCTCACATAAATTTATTTGAAACCAGAAACCTGTGACCAGATTGGAAGTTCATAAACAGAACATTTCAGGAAAAAACATAAATGAAACCTCCAAGCTCCCTGAATGGTTTGATGAGGTTGAATATGATGTGACTTGTATTATGTGGCCTTCATGGTTACAAGATCTCAACCCAACTTATCACCTGTGGTGGATCCTGTGAGACAGCACTCTCTCTCACCACCATCAAAACACCAAATGAGGGAATATCTGTTGTAAAAATGTTGTTGATCCCTCTAGCTGAGCTCCACACATTTGTCTGGTCCTTTCATTCGTCTCTCATCTGTTCATTCACTTAGATTATTGCTGCTCCATTAAATGCACTGTAATACTCTGTTCCCCTCCCATGATATTATACAGAACTACTGTTGTCACAATGTCCGCCTCGGCTGCAACTATTCATGTCACATTCTGCCTCTCTTTCCCACCTTTCAGCCTCATTCCCATCTATAAAAACCGTCATTCTCTATCTGTCTACCAGATTCTCCTTTCACCCCAGATCCTGCCAATCATCAGGATCATATTGTATATGCATGCAACCTCCTCCATTTTACGTAGCCTTGATTCAGTGTACCACGCATCTCTACATTTTATTACAAATGCAAAGTCCCTTACTCATCACTGCATTCTTTATTATTTGGTGGGTTGGATGTCACTTACCATTCGCAGACAACAGCATTAATATATTTTTATCTATAAAGCAATAATGGGCAAACCTCCAGCCTACCTCTGCACCCTTCTGTGTGTCAGTTGTGGTAGTTACCAGCTACGTTCCTCCAGGT